TGTGAATCCACTACGCCAATGGGATCTTTGACGGCCCTGTGCGCCAATGCACACTTCACAACCCCGGCGGTAAGGAACGTGATCATTGAGTTCATGCTGAAGCCTCGCCTGCTCCTCGGTAAGCTTGGCTAAAAGACACTTCCGCTCAACAACCTCGTCTGCTCGCTTCCTTTCCGCCTTCCACGAATCCCAATGCGCATTCACAGCTTGCCGCAACCCTGATGACCAGTCGTACGTCCCTCTTTGAGGCCTAAAACCCCCTTGCAGGCTACACCCATGCAACGACTCAAACAAAAACCATGAAGAAGTCGTGACCTGGGTGCCTCGGCCTAAAGACCCCGTTACACTTCCCTGTTCACCATCAACCTTGTACAAATCGTACGCCCTATCAACAGAAGACAAAAAATCCTTAACGTCAACCCCAAGGCTACGCAAGGAATCCCCATCTCTTAGACATACAGGCGCTTCCCAAGCAAAGAAAACCGAGGACCCAGTTGCCCCTCGCTCGCTCCGCTCGGACCGACTGAGCCTTTGGGCCGCTCGGTCCAATGCCCACTTCACTAGTTCCTGAGGGTCTAAGATTCCCTCTGGCATGCGATCCTCATCCGAATCCCCGACTTCAGGGCCCTGCTTACCAGCAGTCCCATCTTGAACTGCCTGCGCTACCGCAAACAACAACACTAATCGAAGGTTCAGAATCAAACAATCCTCGACCCTTCGCTCAGCTCCTTCGGAAGTAACCTGGAAGCCTACGCCCCCTAACTCCCCAACGAAGCCCCCAAAGACCCCGCTAAGAGCCCACCTAAGCAAATGGCCAAAAACACGCCGGCTACCTAACCCCTTCTCGGAACTAGCAACTCGAAGTGTTTTCCCAGCGTCCCTCCAGCCACTCGGCTGATCCGAACAGCAGAGCATCACCGAGGCTCTGCCTCCTCGATCAAGTGATCGTCGGACACGCCGATTCCAAGGGAACTCGTCCCAGCTGGAAGTTCCCAACGGAGCTGAATCAACACAGACGCGCATTAGAACTCCTAGAGGCACCGAAGGCAACAGTCCCTTAAGAAATGCTACGCCAACCCTCGCCTCTAGAATCCCATCACGACAATCCGCAATCTGATCCCTTAGCCAACCTCGGGCCTCACTTGAACTCACTTCCGGCAGAGCACCCAAAGTCTCTAATTTCCTAACTCCCTTACCATTCCCAACTAGCTCTTCATACTTAGCAAGAAGTCTCAAACCTACCTCCTTCGGAATCAACGGACAGCCCTTTACCACTTGCACCTCAAGTCGACCCTCCTTTGGATGACGAATGGAACACCCACGGCGACGCCACGAAATCCTAAAGCCTAGCTCGACCAAATACATGGCAGGGAGTATCACCTGACAATGTCCCGCATGGAGGAGTGTGCCAAACTCATTCACCCTCAGCTGAGTACCCCCACTAGCTAAGTCAACATGTATCACACGACCCCCTAGGATTTCCTCAGGAGATGCGGGGCGTAAGGCATTAGTGGCTCCAGAATCTACTAAGCAGAACGCGGGATCGGACGCACTCGTGAGAGCACTCTTCAGCCAAGACAAGTCAAGACCTGGGTCCTCTAAATGCACTGCTTTCAAGCTTACCCCCTTTAGAAGCTTCGCCGCTTCAGCTAGCAATGACTCCTGTGTTACCGACGTCCCAGAACTCGGACCGGCCCCGGAGGCTGCTGGTGTACCCGATTCCTCCCTTGTCTCCCCTTGTTCAGCAACACCCTTTGCCTGCGCAGCCTTCGGTTTCGCTTTCCCTTTAGGAGAACCCCCTTTACCGGCAGGCCCAGGAGCCTTTGGGGAGGAATCGGACGCCGCTTCCTGCTGCACTACACGAAGCTCTGGGGGAACTATGGGACAATCTGGGCGAAAGTGCCCCGACTGACCGCACGCTAGGCAACGATTCTCTTTCCTAGCCTTCCCTCTATCGTGCTTAAACATACAGGAGTCCCCAAACCTACACCCTGAAGCATCCCCAAACTTATGGCACAAACGTGGAGTACCATCACTCGCCTTTCCTTTGCCTTTCCCTTTAGCCTCACTCCCACTTACCTGCGCAGCCGCTACCGACGGACCAGTACCACCGCTGGTGGTTGGAGAAGCCGGAGGTGGACTTCCAGATGGCTTAGGGGGGGCCGGTGGAGGATTGCCACTCGCATTAAGGGCTGCCGTCCTATTCCGCTTGTCTCCTCCTCCGGAAGTCTCTACTAATGCTGCCGCTTCGCTCTCTGCCTGAAGTAGTCTCACAAGTTGGGTAACACCCACAGTGGTAGGATTGTAATCCAAAGCAATGCTATGTCTAAAGGAGTTCACCCTGAACCCAACCATAGGACTACTCGCTAGCAAAGGAGCTGTTGCAGCATCGACTCCCTTTAAAAGCAGTGAAGCATCAGGCAAAGTTGCTTTGATTTCGCTGGCACGCTGCAGCGACTGCTGCCATTTCCTGAGGACCTTAACCGCTTCCTGAAAACCACGGCAAACCTCTGGGGACACTAGCTGCCCTAACAGCTGAGCCCGTTCGCTAGATCCTCCAGGTTGATACGCGCAGAGAATGCGAAACAAAATAGACGCAGTACTAAGCCATCTATTAGTGATAATGTCATCCCTTACAGAGGCAGGAACCGATGCTAGTAGCAAAGTGACCGCCCTCGACTCCACTCTCTGAAACTTATGACCGTCGAAACTTGCTACCACAGCACTCGGATCAAGACCCAACCTTCCTAGCGGGTCCGCCACTAGCCAACGGGAATAACCCTGATGTGCCGCTAACTCTACAGCGCTATACCATACATCCGCCGAAGGAGATAAACCGAGGAAGATTTGTTTGATTTGGGCCAACCAGTTGCCACATACTATAGCCGAGCTAGCTAAGTCAGCCTGCACCAACTTAGGCAACTCGCTAATATACTTTGCGGGCTCCTCAGGCCTACTCTCGTTAACCCCCAAACCTGGGTACACTCCCCAACCTGCAGGCCCTGGAGCTGCACACCCTAAGTGTCCTAAACCAGCCCCCCGAGGGTCAAACCCTAACCCCGTCGCCCCGGAAGCAAGTCCCTGCACGCCTGTTACCAAACCACTCGTTTCGTGCAAATGACCCAAACCCGAGCGAGGCGGGCCTGCCATCATCCCAGGTGGCGGCCGCGGCGATGCCGGTGGTGGAATGGGAGGCGGACGGATTACCGTCCCACCCGGGGAGAGAGGATAACCCTGCGAGTCAAACCCAGGACCACCTACCTTTGTAGACCTTGGGGTCTCAAACCCCAGAGCCTCACCTGCAAACTGCCTCATGGTCTGGGCCCGAACCTCCTCCTCAGGGACACCCCTAAAGGGTACCAAAGCAGCATTACACCCCGAAACCGAGAGGCTCGAGGAATCCAAAGCTCCCAACGCTACTCTTTCATACTCCCTTGAAGTTGGACCCGGCCCTCCGAAGGCAGACTGTGGATTCGGGATCACTATACCGGCTGACCTCTCAACCGCTAACCCAACTCCATCACTCTTGCAACCTGGGAAATCTGGAAACCAAGCCCCCTCAGGAGGCGTAGCCTGTACACCGAGTGCAAGGTCCCGCTCAAGACCTATCCCACGAAATCCAGAAGGCGCGGCAAACGACATAGGAGATCCAGCGGGTACACCGCTATCCCCTGCCACACCGCTATGCCAAGACGAAGCCGATCTAAGCTCCACTTGCTCCAGACGACGCTTGAGGACACGGTTCTCCTCCATCATCTGTCGTAGAAGGCCCTCGACATCCAATTTCGTGGACTGGTCCGGGAGCAGTTCCTCTTCTCCACCATGAACAGTGCGGGAAGGGCTAGTCTCTCCCTCCATTCCCACCATCATCCCAGTAGACTTCGGCTCCTCCAGGCCATACCCAGACAGTGGAAATTGTCCTATACCACCCGGGCTGGATCCAGATACTCCTCTTTCCTCCTCAGCTGACGGCTCCACTCGAGCCACCCTGGGTCCTGAAACATCACCCAAAGGCCGATTGACTCCTGCGCCCTTGAACGCTTCTGCATAGTTGGGTTCAGCCCCATTGTCGCCTACCCATTCACCACCAGAAGTCCGGTCCCGGCTGGCTTGAAGTCGGGCTTCCTCCTCATCTAAAGATGTCGGGCGCTGTTGCATAAGAGCAATCTCACCCTTCACTTTGTCACTATGAAAAGGGCTGGCGGCGACACCCAGCCCCGATGGCCCAGGTGCCCCTCCTTGCTCCAACGTGTTGGGTGAAGCTTCACCCTGACGAACGCTCGGGGAAACACTCGCTCCCAAAGCCGCTCTTGCTCCTTGGCCCAAAGCTGCTCCGTATGTCTCTTCAAGACACTCGCCCGTAGCCTCATGATCTCCAGAGGGTGCAGAGCCTCTTCGTGTTCGAAACATGGGCTCCATGCCACAGGCTTCCTACACCCTGCTCAAGACACCTAGGACAAACCTTACAGGGGCCCTAAAGCTACTTACGGCTGATAACCTACGTGAACTATGCCAAAGATGATCAGTTAAACAGATAAGAAACCCTAAGGTACACACTGAACCCTGGGGCCTCCAAAGAGATGCATCGATTTTTCTTCGAGAAAAGAACAGCCTCGCGGTGCACAACATGCGTCCTATACTGCAGGGCATCACTCCAATCACGCACCCAGCCCTAACCCCCCCAACCCTACCCAAAAACTGCTGCAGTTTGTCTGCAAGTCCTAGCTCGAAAGTGCGCTCTTGTACAGACACCCGGCATCCCGACCCTAAACCCTAAACCTTAAACCCTAAACCTTACACCCTAAACCCTAGACCTTATTTAAGGGCTTGGGTTTCAAATGGATACGAGACTTTCGGGGCATCGTCTTTACCCACTTCAAGCTCTGAACCTTCGATAGGGTTCAAAGTTAGGGTTTAGGGTTTCGGGTTTGGGGATTAGGGTTTCGGAAGTAGCCCTAAACCCTGAACTCTGAACCCCTGACCCTTCTTCAAGAACCGAGGCCGACCCCCGCGGACGCCAACCGGCCCCAAACCATGCCCCTTTGTGTGCAAGAGGGTTTAGGGAGGTTTTGGTTCAGCGTTCAGGGTTGGGTTTGGGGTTGGGCACCTCTGCACGCAGTACCTGAAGCCAGAATGTTTGATTTTGGCGCTTGGGCGGCGGTTTAGGGTTTCGGGGTTTAGGGTTGGGGTCCGTGGCCTATGGGCTGGGGTTTGGGGTGAAAGCTGCTTGTGGCCTGAACCTTGACCCCCGAACTTCGCAGCATCCCACGCGTCGGTTCTGAACGCTGAGCCCCTCAACCCTGAGGTCGTGAACTCCCCGAAACCCGACACCCTGAACCCTAAACAACCCTAAACAACGCTAAGCAACCCTAAACAACCCTAAACAACCCTAAACAACGCTAAGCAACCCTAAACAACCCTAAACAACCCTAAACAACCCGAAGCAACCCTAAACAACCCTAAACAACCCAGAGCGGATGCCTTCAAGGCCATCGACAGCAACCGTGATGCCGTCCTGTCAAAGCAGGCCTCCCGCCGTGTCTGAGTTTCTGCTAGTCTGCTGTAGTGTCGTGCTACTCAGGAATTTAAAAGCCACTTTGACACGGAGGCCGGATGCGGGTGGTTCCGGGTGGTGATATTTTGTTAGGCAAGTCTGTCATCCAGCAGCTCAGCAGCTCCAGGTTGCTGAGCAGAGTGCAGCCACTGCAGCGGCCACGACCGAAGTCTCAGAGGCCTGGCGCATCTCGGCCACCGCCCTTGCGCAAGTGGATTCTGCTGCGATCTGCAGTTGGCCCGAAAAACATGCAAAGCTGTGCAGCGGGTGCAAGGTGGTGAGTTTCGCAGAGATGCGGGCGACACCGACCATGGCCGGGGCGCCCAGATCTTCCGAGAGCCTCTGGCAAGAGCCTGCGCTTCTGCTGAGCTGAGATAAAGAATGAAGTAGCTACGTCTACATACAGCTCCAGCTGCGTGCATACGAAGTATCTTTACGTAGTCTGACAAAATCAGTCAAAGAGACGCCGACAACCCCGAGACTGCTTGGGATGCTTTAGTTTGCCAGTTTGCCAGCTGCTGCAGATTTCCAGCAAGTGAGTTGTCGCTTCCAGAGATGTGCAGCGGCGTGTGTTTTTTTTTCGAGTAATTGCAAGCTTCTTCCTCACTTCTCGATGGATGCCTGGATGTTCTTTCGGTAATGGTCTTCATTCACTCAGAGAGGGGGCTTCGCCCGTCGTCGAGGTAAGGAAGGCGTGCAAACTTCGATCGCTGGCAGTTTGTGAGGGGCCGGCCAGGTCCAGACTCCATGGGCAAAGTCCGCGCCGAGTGGGGCCGAGACTGAGAACTTGGTGCTGCACCTCGCCCCCGACGAGGATATACCTGCCCAACCATCGACAGTGCGTCGAATAATTAGTTTTCTGATGCCATACAGTACAGCCCGAAGTCAAAAGCTTCAACATATGTCATGTGCTACATGCCACAATTGTGCCCTCTGCATTTCGGCACACGCTGGAGGCAGAAATGTCCTGTGGCGTCAGAAGGGTCCGTTGTGGAGCAGGGTGATAGCGAAATCAAAGGCCTGTCGGATGCAGGCACAGGAACTGCTCCTGGGTGTTTGGATCGTCATGGGGGAGCGTCAGTGACATCGCTATCATCATCAACATCATCACCGTCATCACCATCCTCGTCATGATGATCATCATCCTCATCCGAAACACCAGCAGGATAAGTCGCAGCATCAGCAGCACTGTCATGTCTTGTTTTACCGTTATCACGATATGTCTGACACTGTCGCCGACATGCTCATCACCCGCGATCCTCATCATCATCATCATCATCATCATCGTCATCATCAGTATCATCATCATCATCATCATCATCATCATCGTCATCATCAGTATCATCATCATCATCATCATCTCCATCTCTGACATTCTCAGATAGTTTCAGATAGTCTCGGAAGACAGTAAGCGCCAGGAGCCCGCAGATGTGACCAACGCCCTGCAGGCAAGGGTTTAGGGTTTTGACATGACTTTGCGCTCGACATACAGTGAGAAAACGGTCAGATGGCTGGAGCTGGAGTTTGCATCAGAGCTTCCATTGCTTACAGATTCCAATCCTGGTGCGATCAAGCTCCAAAGCCCAAGTCGATGCAGAACGACACGCAAACTTGCGCGCAAATCTAGCAAAGCAAATCGCCCAACGCCACGAAGAGGCTGCACACCTTGCTTCCAGAACCTGTGCAGGCGGCTACCGCAGGAGCAGCGAGCTCTGTGGCAGGCTGCGTTGAAGGCAAGCCTGCAGCACTGATTTCGGTGCCACGTCACCTCCCTGCAACGGGCTCCGATGTGCTTGCAGAGTTTACCACATAACAACGCTGGTTCCTCGCATTCGCTGTGCACAAACACTGACTTGAGTCGCTTGATGGCAGGCGCCGTCGACACCGCAGCTGCGCAAGAGTCGGATGGCAGCAGGAAGGCCGCGCGCTTAGAACATCAAAAGCTGTACGAAGCTGTCAAGGGTCGCCAGGATTGCGGTCAAATGATACTGTTGATGCCGATGACGAGGAGGATGAGGATCATGACGTCAACGATAACCATGGCCGCTGTCCTGAACCCCGAATGAAAGCATATGATGCTCATTGCCTGCCCCAGAACACGGCGCAAATGCGTCACTGCCGGTTGAGATAGCGTACATCGAACCGCGCAACGCACAGCAGGCTTGTGCAACAGGACGCCGCTGACATCCAGACTGCAAGACGCTGTGTTGTTTGATGGTTGTTCCGGCGCTCCTTGGTAGGAAGACCCTGGCTTTGGCTGTTGGTTTCATGAACGGGAATGCAAGGGCTGGTCCAACAGCCTCGTGAGTGAATGGGAAGGGAGCTTCCCAGAACTGTCAATGTGATTGAAAATCATTGGCATGTGTGTGCCTGTTTTTTGCATGGTTGAGCCCAGAGGCGGGCAGCGTATGAGGTCATCGAGCAACAGGGGCGTATTCCAAACAACTCCATGGCTTTCTTGGGGGTGCAGTCTTGGTAGCTTGTAGCTCTCCAGCAAACAAGCACAACCAGCGCCCGTGGAAAAAGGCACTGACTTTCGGGGTGAAAGCGGATTCTGATGGGTGCAAGTATCCAAGCGCAACAGGTCCATCTCGAGGCACTGCTTGGGGAGCGTGCAGACGGGGGGAACCTTCGTGCAGGTGAAGTTGAGAAGCGTTCGTTTCATTGCATGTGGTTCGAGGGCCTTGAAGCTAAACCTGAAATGTCAGTCATTGCAACTTTCAGCAAAATCACAGAAAGGCCATGTCTAGTCATGGAAGGCACCGAAGCATCTTTGCTCCATGCGACCCAGGCTCAACAAGCCGGGGCGGATGAGGGGTCCTCTGGTGCAGTGGATCTGACGCCGTTCGACGCTCCGCTGCAGGCCTTTGTCGATCTGGGCTGGGCCAGTCGTCTCTCTGTCTGTGTGTGTTATGGCACGGCCCTATCCTGTCCTTGCTATCTGCCGTGTAGATTGACGGTCGGAGGATCTCACGCGGAAACAGAAGCAAAAGCTCAAAAAGAAGTTGCGACGGCGGACCAAGGCCACGGATTAGGAGTTGTTTGTGTTTTTCAGATCGTGGCTCCACGCCCACTTCCGGCTGTTCCCGGCAGGGCCAGAAGTTGATGGCAGAGCCAGGCTGCACAAACGAGGCAGAGGACAGGTGCCGGAGTCTCCTTATGGTTGTGATTTTTGGGGGGTTGTTTGGGTCGTTTGATGAGCCATCCTGACCGAGCATGGAACAAGCGTGCTGCGGTTCCGAATAAACACTCCGTGCCGTGGTACCTGCGTGTCAAGACCGCCCACGCACAGCAACGACTTCTGCACGTTTGTCTCTTCCCGCTTGTGTGTTGCTGAGTTTGTCTATCGGCGTCAGGCCCATTTGAGCGATCACTTTGGCTTCATCCTGGGCCGTCTTGTCGTCCCGTTTCTGAATGTAACTTGGCATCACTGTGGTCCTCAAAGATTGGGGCTTGGAGAACGATACGTCGCTCCTCTGAGGTATGCACCTTTATAGTTGCCATCGCGTTCGTAAGAAGCTTGTAGTCGAGCAGCATGCAAGTGCTTTGGCTCCAGGCACGTGGGCTTCCTCGTTTGAGAGGTTGCTGCACTGAGCTATCTGATCTAGTTGTGCAGTACGTGATGAGCGAAGCCGACGACGAGGAGGCAAAGATGGCCAGCAGATTGCTGAAACCGACGTCCCCGGACTTCAGCAAAGCCTGGGTCGCCGAGCAGAAGAAGCGAAAACGGCTTCTTCGAAATCCCTACCTGCTCAAAAAAGGGTTCTGCCACTCGGCTGAATCATTGAAGGGTTTAAGGAGTTTATTGTTTAGGGTGCGATTCCATTTGGTACGTTGCATGGCGAGCTTGCAACTCTCGGTTACTTCGCTCGGCATGAACACATCTGTGCAGCGCTGCATGTCGCGGCAGGTTGCGATTGGGCTGCCGCGCTCTTCGCCTCACGCCTGGCAGGAGGTTAAAAAAGAAGGCAATGCTTGCGCAGCACCTAACTTGGCTCGCGAAGATTATCATGGGATCACTAACAATACGCACGAAGGAGAGCCGATGCAGCAAAGGTGCACGCCACAAGTGCTCAAATGTCTTCAGCAGGCCGCACTAGCGCAGCAAATCGCGTATTACGTCAGCAACAAATTTGGCGATGGTGGCAGAATGTGGCAGATCTGCTCAACGTTGACTCTGTGTAGTTTGGAGGAGAAACCCAACGTGATTTTAACAAGAACTCCATATTATCATCATCGTCGTCATGTTCGACATGAGGCACGACAAATAGGTTCTGAACACGCTCAGCAACACGGTGAAGGGTCATTTTGTCCGCAGTTGTACCACTCTTCACTCAAGACTTGACGCTGATAACGGCCTAAGTTCCCGAACAGCTAAACCCAGAACTGGGAGAGGGCTGTCGCCTCAACCTGCCAGAAGGCGCGAAATGACGTGCAAGCTTGCTCACACTTGTGACGGCATGTGTGTGTGTGTGTCTTTTTTGGCATTGGATGCCAGGGATGTTAGTGGCTTTGCATGAGACAGCTAGCAGGATGCTCTACGAGAGAGCAATCAAAGCCGAACTCCAGCTCTTTCCGGGATCAGTTTGAAACGTGCAAGTTTGGCATGAGTTGCCGGTTACTCCCTGATGAAGGCTCTTCCTTCACTTTCCCTTAAGTGGGCCCTGGCTTGAGGCACGGAGCGAGTGCGTAAGGTGGAAGCTGCCGTCTCCTGCGCAGCGCGGTTCAAGATGATGAAGCATATACAAGAGCAGCAGCACTGAGGGAGCAATGAAGCACATGCCATTTAGAAGGTTGGGTTCGTCGAATCTTGTGGTGGGAGCCGCTGGTTCTGCCGACGTCGGCTTCATGTAGTGGCCCGGTCGCTTGCCTGTCCGGCCCGGTCGGCTCTCTCAGTCAGCACACCCAAAGCCAGGAAGCATACGACACGATGCCAAAAGTTTCCGGATTCTAAGGAAGGCGACCAATGGTCGCCTTGGAGGAGGTTGGTCCGGCTGCCGACTTCGGATCCTTGTGCCTTGGCTGCCATGGGCGTCTGTGGGCTTCGCTTGTGGACAATTTCGAGTGGGCTCGGGTCAGGGTCGCGCCACGCGGCACTGAGGAGCGCGTTTCTCGGGGTGGGCGTGCCGGGCGTGCCGGTCGCCGAGCGTGGAGCCCACCTCAAGGCACAGGCTGTCCACGAAACTGACCAACAGATGAGCGACATGGGATTTCGGCGCAGGCGCCACTGCCGCTGCCCACCCCCACTGCAACTTCCGCCAGGCAAGACTCCACTCCGTAGCAACGGCATTGGAGACATGAGCATCATGGTGCGAAGGATTGGCAAGGATGGCACCCTCAGCAAGAAGGTTGCCTTCAGGCTCATCGTGTCGATCACAATGACCTGAGACAACGGTGCGTCTTTTGAGCCTTCGGGACGATGCCCAGTGGCAAGGATGCTGAAGCAGCTCGGGTGCGAAGTGCTCTCGGATGAGGATGGCGAGGTCCCGCGGCCAGGCAGCTCGTTCCCGCTGCAGGTCGGGGTTGTCTCTTGCGCAGGCCCGGTACGTTCAGGTGGGCATCAAAACTCAGCCGGTGCTCTTCAAGAGCCTTGGCATGAGAAGAGGCAATTTAAAGGAGGCCGCTTCGAGAGAGCAGCACTGCAGCACGTGTTGCGTTGTTGAGGATGCTTGTGGAGCTGGGCCACGCGCCCCGGCGCGGCGAAGATGGCCCAGGCCTCAGGCCTCCAGCGTGCTTTTTCCTTATTTCAACGCCTGACCTGACTCGTATCCTGACACTGCAACGCAACCGAGGCGAATTCATGGTTCAAGTTGTCGAGCAACGCGGGCGAAAGCCGGAGGCTCGCGGTTTACCCCCCACCCCCCCGCTTGCATCGAAGCTTTGCTGCCCTGGCCTTCCATGCCTTAAGAAGCTCTTGCAGGAAGTTGTCGCAGCCCTGTCGGCACCCCGGAAGCCGCCTCGAGCTCCCCGGCAGGCAGGGCCGGGCAGACGGGCAGGGCCCGAAGAAGTGGTTTTGGCCTCGGTGACCTCGCCAGGAGCCCGAAGACGAAGGCTACCCTTCCATGCCTCGTCCTCGCCTGAAGCCGGAGGCCATTCCGGGATTTGTGGATTGACCCCGGCGAGAAGTGCGCAAGCACCTCACGCAAGTTCCATGAAGTCCGAAGTCCCCAACCTCTGTTTTAGCCCCGCACCCGCAGGGTGTCCTGTGGCCTCAGGATGCGCAGCTTCTCGTCAACCGTCTCTACAAGGTGCCGAGAAGGCTGGCCTCTGCATAACATCGCTGCGTCATTGTTTTTCAAGCGAGTTGCAAGCAGTTCTGTGTAATCGTTGCGACTTGTCGTCGACCTTCGTGAGGATTCTAATCTAGGGAGTCGACCACAAGAAGGAACGCGGTTTGTGGCAGCAGAGGTTTGTCTGTCTCTTGTGGGCTACCATTCAGTCAGCAGACGACGTAAGATGACGAAAACCAAAACGATAGATGCATTCTGGTGAGGTCGAAGTGAAATGCAGGTTGCCGTAGCACGGTCAGGCGGGAGGAATATGTCCAATTACCGACTATTGGGGTTCAGCTTGGACAAGAGATGCTCCAGCGAAAGTCTGCGTGCGGGCGGCAAAGAAGAAGACACCGCCCTGATAGCCCAACTGAGTGTTCGAATAGTCGGATGCCTTGTAAGACCTCGGCACGGCCGTCGAATTCCTAAGACTCACAAAGTCTTGGTGTGCGCCTGCCCATCCGCCCCCTGAGCTCCGCCCGCCGTGTGTCATGCACCACTCTGGCACGGGACTGCGTCCCGCTGCTGAGCTGGAGACCTTGGGCTTGGCTTGGGTCCTTGGAGTTTTTTGGATGCCGAAGATGTGTACACGAAGAAGAGCCCGGGGGGGATTCGTCCTGAATGTTGTCGTGTGCACTTGTTTGGCGCGTCAACAGCCCTGAGGACCCGAAGGCACTGCAAAACAAGACTGTTTGCTATGATATCGGATCCAATAGACGGAGATCTGCGCATACTCTTCCTGCTTATGAAAGCTGCAGCAGATACTGGGAGTGTTTCGGATTCAACATTCGCGAAAGTTGCGGAATGTCCTGCCTGAATTTACAAGGCGAGGTGCCTGCTGGTGTCGTCCAGCTGTTTTTGACTCGGTGTTTGCACGCTGAAGCTTCAAGAGCTTCAGACGACTTGGCTTCCTTTGAGTTGAGGCGGAGGCATTAAACGGGGGGTGCCATCATCGTACCACACTACAGTCCCATCGTGGAGGCAGACAACAACTGAAACAGCCAGTTCCCAGTTCCAGAGTTGTGTTCCTGAGTGCTCTGGAACATGTCAGGGTTCCGGACGTCGCCGTGTTGGAATATATGCTTATCGACACTGATCGACACAACAATGAGTTGAAGCATGCACCCAAGAAAAGCCACTTCGTGCAGCATCTGCTACGTGAGGCCTCCTGCAGAGGTGAAGGCGGATGAGCCCAACTCAGATCTTGCAGAGTTTGGTTTCGGGCTGTCGCGGGTGTCTTACGAGTCTGTCCCGAGGCTGCGAAGCCGCGGCGGACTGCGGCGGAGCAGCGCGCCTACCTCGACCGCTTGGTGAAGCCTCGGGCTGAGGAGACGCAGGCTCCGGAGCTGGACGAAGTGATCCTGGAAGCGGGCAGGCCGGCGGGAGCCATCGGGAGCAGAGTCGCATTGACATCGTCCCGGCTTCGCAGCTTCGCAGCTTAGGCGGCTCCTGAAGAACGGGATCACTTGGCCGAGCTTCTCCAGTCCCTCCGAAAGCCGAGCAAAGAAGGCACAGAGCCGCACGAGGCTGGCACAGGCCGGAGCTTTGGCCATCTCGAGCACAGAGCCCAAGGACGTTCGAGGGCCGCAGTCCATGCACTCTCGCTTGCGCCTGCCGCGCTCCCGGCCTTCCTCTGCGGAGCTCAGACGCCGCGACTCCGGGGTCGCCCCGCCTCTCCAGACCCTCCAGCCGCTGCAGCCGCTTCAAGCACTGGAGGCACTGGAAAGCGTGCTGCCCAAGAGCCCTCCACCGGAGAGTCCTCCGCCGCCTGCGGAGCAGGAGGTCTCGGCAGGAGGCCTGGAGCAGGAAGAGACGCCGATATGGCCGACGGCAAAATACGCCGCATTACGCCAGATTACGCCGCAATGACGGGTAAAAACGCCGCAGATTTGGCACAGCCATGACCCCTATATAACCCAAAATCTCATGTCGGAACATTCTACGCATGTTTTAGCAGGCAAAGCATGTACAGAGGCCTTTTCCATTCATTGGCTCTGTCCCAGTAAGCACCGAAAGGCACGAGTTCCAAAACGAGCCCACAGCAAAGCTCAAGCAGCTGCTCCCACTAACATGTGTCACAAAATACTGGGTCTCTGTATGATCTCTGGCCTTCATTGAATTATACAGATGTACAGCACTGTATGGCACTTGCTTCGAAGCACCTGGGCACCATTCTCCATAGAGCTTGCTATATCGCTACTCAAAGCATACAAGCGATTTCAGACACTCTGGCAGGCGCAGACGAGTGCTTGTCATTGCGTAGGTATAGACCGCATAGAGCTCCGCATCCAGACACTCGTCTCTCTCTTGGGGCAATGCCCGAATAAAATGCCAAGTTGACCCAGCCAGCATGTTAGCTGCCTGCAACAAAAACCCACAAGACATGAACCAATGTAGAGCGACGGCACACCCTGCCTGCGGCAGGACCGGGCGAGTGGATATGAACTCCTCCCTGAGTCTCAAGAGCTTGGCTGCAAAGGCGACCGGGTAGCTCCTGATGGGTGAGGAGCTTTGGGGGGTTTAAGGCTTTGGGGGTTGAAGCTTTAGCGGGTTTAGGGCTTTAGTTTTTTTTAGGGTTGTATAAGTTTTGTATATAGGGAAGGCCGGCTTCAATTTGTGTAGATAAAAAGCCCTCAATATACAAATCTTTGATTCATTTGATATATTATAACTATATCTGGGAATAGGGGTTCAGAGTTCTTTAGGGTTTATGTAAGGATACATATATAGGACTGGGTCCTTGTCTTTTGTGAGTCTATGAATAGGCTTCAATATTTATGCTGTCCAGGCTCTGGGTACTCTTGAGTGCCGGCAGACCATGAAAGCGCTTTTTGCCGGAGGCATCTGTGTATCTCTTAACGACAGCGATCTCACTTCGACATTCTTTTGCGTTAAGCTTGCCCAGGAAAAGCTTCCCCACTGCTCGAGAAGTAGACCAGCACACCGTGCGCTTGTAGTTTGGGTGACCATACGTTTTCATCCAAAACGATTGCCGAAATACCTCGGTCTGCCAACAGAAGCCACAGAAGTGTATGAACATGTCTCGTGTCTGTATGCACATGTATGCATGTGTTCATGTCTTCCATGTGTGTGCATATACATATACATGTGTGTGCCTATAGAACCCAGAACAGCAGGCGCCCCACTGCGAAGCAAGTTGCAAGGATCCCCTGTGCCCTCAGCAAGTGTCGCAGCCAGGTAAAACGTGGCATCAAATGCAACAATGTGGAGGCCGGTTGCTCCACGATAGGAACAATTTCCAAAGCAACCATCAGCAAGAAGAGGAGAATGGTCCTGAATCCACTCTCTCTCTCTCTCTCTCTCTCACTTCCTCTCTCTCTCACTCGGTATCTCCTTTTCCTCTCTTTACATCTCTTTCTCTGTCCTTCTCTCCCTCCCTCCCTCTGCTGCTTTTCTTTCAGTCATGGCTTGGTTAGAACAAGGGTATATGGTTATAATGTCCAGTATAATGTACAATATATGGTGTCCTGTCAAATATGCATGGCATCCAAGATGATCCTGGATGTAACTCTCATTCAGTCTACATGATACATATAAATATATATACCAAACATAGTTGTGGTTTCTCATGGGTTCAGGCTCGGTCCTCGAGGCGCATTTGTTGGCCAAGTAGACTGTCTCATGCACAGGGGATCCCATCGGAATGAGCTCAGACCTTTCAGTTGAGCCACGGCTAGCGAGAACCCAAGTACTGCATGGAACCCCCATGACAGCAACTGCTCCAGCAACTTTGGCTTGCATGATCTGATGGCAATGCAACCTCGGTCAGGCTCACAACAAGCCAAGCTCTCTACAAGCTTGGCAAAGGCCACGGTTACAAGCAACGGGAGCGAGAGACCGAAAGCCAGAGAGAGAGAGAAAGAGAGAGTGGGGGAATGGCTGAGCATGCGAGTGTCTAAGTGTGTGAGTGAGTGTCTGAGTGAACGGTTGTGTTTTATGTTTGTGCGTGTTGTCACGAAACGAACGAGAGAGAGAGCGAGAGAGAGAGAGAGAGAGAGAGAGAGACAGAGAGAGAGAGAGAGAGTGGGTGGGTGTGTGCGGGGAGAGAGACAGAGAGAGAGAGAGAGAGAGGCAGATATAGATAAAGTATGGTAGATATGAGAGTTAAAGGTGGAGAAGGGTGGGACAAGGAGGGCAAAACTTGCAGACTAGTTGCAGGAAGCCCGCATCAGTGTTGATGTCCATACAATTGGTGGTCTTCTTGTTGTCCCCCGAACAATAGGCTTTGTCAAGAGCTGTTGTAGAAAGGCCCAAAGCTTTACCCATACGAGCAACTTTCGCGGTGCCAGCAAACAACTCAATGATTTCAAACGGCTTGCTTGTGGTTTCACCAATATCCAAATGACCGAGCAAGAAGATCACCACGATGAAGGCCTTGGACAGTGTGCAACGAGACCATTTATAAGTACATTGTACAGTTTATATGATCATTCTGTGAAGGAGAAGGAAACAAGTGCAATCCAAAGACACGGGGGGCTTTCAGCCATGCCAGGCGCTTGATGACGAACTCATATGTGGGATGCAGCCCTGTGTCTGCAGCATCCATGATGAGCAAGGCAAGCTCAGACTTGTTGGCAGGGTTTGGCTTCGTGTACATCAAGATTCCGGTGTTTGATTTCATAAGGCACTGGTTTCAAATCTCGAGGGGTTAATGCATTTTCATAGCGAGATACACTTTTTACCAGTATCTGAGTATCATGTGTCTTGCTCTGAAGCCAGATGCAGCCGAGACTGAGTTGCATATTTCAATCATGACAGTAGCAAAATACAGATAGAAACCAAGAATCACAGGGGGCACTTGTCTCATGATCCTGGGCATCCACTTGCATGCACAGAAGAAAGAACAAAAAGCTGGCACACCAGTTGCCTTGTCATCAATCAGGCCGTATCGGCATTGCGACGCAACTCCTGGAGAAGCTCTCCGCTTCATGAGGACCTGGCATGGAAGCTGCAAATCAAACCATACACTTCGGAAATTTCATGGATCTCGGAAGATTGATATTCAGTCAGCGAGCATGCAGAAGACCCGTACAGCCAGACACAATAGATACACATGTTGGCACTGCATGATCTTTCACTTTGCTGGCTCAGCTCGCTTGGCCCGGCTATGCCAGGTTGGAACAGTAACTGCACAGATCGACAGATGCGGGCAGGGCAGCAGGACAGTTGCATGCCTTTCAGGGTTTAAGGTTTTGAGGTTTAGAGTTTTGTAAAAGGTTTAGAGCTTTCGGGTTTAGGGTTTAAGGTTTTTTGGAGCTTCGGAATAGAACAGGGTACACTTTGTTGCTACTATCCAAATCAGATAGTACTATATACAGGTCATGCAGCAACTGTCTGTGACCACTCCCACATGATCCCCTTGACTATCGAGAGTCCCCAGAATTTTGGCATGTTCGTGAAAGCATGCGCAAATGTCGATCCATCGCATCAGATGAGCGAGCCTGAGCTGTCGGCGCACATACACCACAGTAGGTTCAGTGTGGAACGATCCAAAGAAGCACGTAGGAACCTATATATGTTCATGTGCAAGTGTTCTTATCCAGCAAACAGAGGTAGTGAGACAGGGTTCCAGGAAGACCTGTTTGACTGTTCCCAAGTAGCCTGACAGTAGTTTATATTGGTTTCATTTGGTTTCATTTGGCTTGTATTATGGGGGGGGGTTAGGGTATCTATAGGGCTCCACACAAAGAACATCGAAACACAAATGGAAGCTACAGCTTCTATATTTGGTTCAAGCCAGCTTTGTTTTATTTTGTTCTATGTGTATATATGATGTTTCTATTATGATACACACACTACACCTTATAAAGGTTCTATATTATAGTATAGGACCTTACAACCTATTATAATATCTATACATATATAATATACATATATATATATATATAATATAAATAAATATATGTATAGGTATATCCATACTTTTGTATATATACACACAACCCTACACGTGTGTGTATATACATGTTACATATATATATATATATATATATATATATATATATACATGAGCATGTTATGTATATAGCAATACATATATACATAGCATGCATATCTGCATATAGACATGAACACAAGTTTCAAATCGGAAAGACACCCAGAGAGAGCGAGAACCCACACGAACAGCAGCAATTCTAGCACGGGTATATACATACCGATGTGCAACAATTGCAAAAACTAGCTAGCCAGGCCACTTTGAACCTCCTCATGAGTCAGGAAATTCTCCGCAGACTTCTTGGCCGCCTTGTCCAAACCGACCCCATCCACTCCCTTCAGGTTGTCCATGGCAAGTGTCCAAAAGGAGTCCTGCAAAACAAGCGCCGACATGTCCTCATAACTGCTATTATAAAGCATCACAGCAACAGCAACAAGTTCAGAACCGACCCCAGGCCTCGAACTTAGCAGGGAATCGAACTTTCGGCTTCACAATCAAGACAAAGGCATCACGAATGGCAGCAAAACGCTGAATTGCATAAGCATCATGTTGCGGGGGTCGTCGTGAGGCGAATGTTTTCTTGGGACCTTTCTCGGCTTCGGCTTCCGCTTCTGGGGCTTGCTCTGGCTCCTTCACATCCGGCTTCACAGACGGTGCACGGGGCTTCCTGGACTTAGCCTTTGCCTTCGGGGGTGCCTCCTCAGACTCCTGCTGGGCCTTCCTCTTGGATCCTGTGGCTGCAGTATCCACAGCCTTCTCCGGTTTGGCTGCTGCTTTTGCCTTGTTGATTTTCTTGCTGCTGCTAGCTGGGGCCTTGGCTTCAGGGGCTTCGGCGGTCTCGGCTTCAGGGGCTTCGGCGGTCTCGGCTTCAGTGGCTTTGGCGGTCTCGGCTTTTGCAGCTTTGGCTTTTGCCTTGGCAGCGGATTTGGGGGCCTTGGGGGTACTCTTGGCTTTTGCCTTAGCTTTGCCCTTTGCCCCAGCTGCTTTAGGGGGCCTGCCGGGCCCACGTTTGGGCTTTGCCTCCTGCAATCCCTCATCCTCGGCCTCCTCTTCGAGTAACTGCACAGTATTTTTAGCCTGCATCTGCTCCTCACGGGTGAGGGGTTCATCCTCGTCGAAGAAACAATCACTTGAAACTGGCTCGGCTTTGGCTGGATCGGGGCTGGCAGCCACAGGACTTGGTAAGGCCTTTGGGTTTTGCTGGGGTGGCTTTGTGGCATCACCGCACTCTCCACCCACTGCACTAAACTCCTTCTCCAGATTCTTGGCAATGGGGGAAAGATCAGATGGGCATGTGTCTTGCACGCTCACATCAATAGCAGGCTCAGGTCTGCGGCCACTGCAAAGTGGCCGTGCGCAAGATGCGGTCGCACGACGCTTCGCGATTTCTTGCCTTATCATACAGCAAACAATCTGCAGACACCGTGGCACACACCACCCCAAAAATGAAGACACATAACAATGTAGGCTAGCAACTGCAGCTGACGAATGCGTAGTACACGAGGATCTGTGGGATCAACATTGTGAAACTGCTGCTGCTTCACCTGTTCTACTTTCAACTTCTTGGCCCTGGGCTTCTCCACTTCAGGAGATTCCTCGATGTTGACACATCTGATCAAGCTTGGCTCACTCTTGCACGAACCTTCACTCTTGTGACTGCTAGTCTCAAGCTTGCACATGGGACTGCTGATCTGAAGCTTCTGCTCCAGATCATCCGTCAAGCCTGTCTTCAAGCAAGGCGAACCATCAACTGCAGCAGCCAAGCTCCTCACTCCTAGCTTTTCCGCAACACGAAGCTCTTCGATAGCAGAATCACCATAGTCATCATCAAGGGCCTGACAGGATTCAGCATCATCCTCGTCGTCATCTTTCAATGCAACAGCACACTCATCATCACACTCGGCATCTCCTTCCTCCTCTTCCTCAATCCCTTCCAAGGAGGCTTTGCTGCGCCTTTTCTTCGGTGCCCAATACTCCGTGATGATATCATAGATCCCCTGCAGCCTTCTATCCTCGGGATACACTGAGGTTCATAAGAACACAGCAGTCACATGAATTTCATTATATATATGCCTGCAACCTTAGCAATGCTCCAAATTCGATTTATGCAGACCAAAGCACACGTCTACGTGATCCATCGTGTCGGCGGATGAGGAGAGTCATGAAACCCCGAAGCACCGTTGCTTCACAGTTCTGTCTCACCACATTCTCTTCCATCGAGAAATGGTCCCGCAACTTGAAAACCTCCACTCAGGAAAAGTGAGTTCACAGTTCAACTGACATACAGACTCACATACATGCAATCCTGCACCCCAGGCCTGCTCACGTGCTTGCGGCACGAAGATTGTTTTGGCCACAGAAAGTTGTGGGCACCAAATCTTGATCAAGGTCAGCAAAACATCGGCATTGCAAGCAGCTGTCTTCAAGCTGCACACACCAACTGTTTTCTTGCTTGGCCAAGTAAACATTGTGCCGGTCTTCAGAACCCGCTCCCGAAGCCTGCCATCATTAGCCCAAATTTCCCAAAGACCGTCCAAATGGACTTCCTCTGTTGGAGCCGGTTCCTCACAGGCTTCAGTCTCGGCTTTCTTCTTCACCACGATGGCTTCTTCTTTCGGCAGCGACTCTTCTTTACACACCATGAGAGCTTCCTCTTTAGGTTGCTCTTTCTTGCACACCATGATGCTTGACCTACTTGTTCCCTTCACTAAGCTCGAAAGCTCGAGCAAATGTCTGTATGATACCAAGCAAGCCAAGCCGATGTTTGGACAAGTTCGACAGATCCTATATTACAAACTTGCCAGCAGCACCTCCGAGGAGAGGATGAGAAACACCACACCAATCCAGAGAGTGATCATCCACCTGCATGACAAATACTAAGCTCACGCCCATACCTACTTGATCACAATCAAAACCTGTGTGCAAAATCTGGCCTCCAGAAACCAAAATGCCAGGACCACAGAAACCAAGCACGTGACTTGATTTGGCTATCCCATTTTCTTCTATGAGAGCGAAAACCAGGCCTTCTCAGCTGATGTACTCTGGAAGAGCCAGCCCAACTCGAGAATTCACCTGCGCGGCATTTGTGTGTATATATATAAATAGAACATGATATATAGCTGGTCAAGCTCCCGCATATATATATAGGAAACATGCACAATAACATCGTGTCGTGCTTTTGCCACCAGCCTCCTGTTCTCTGTTCCCCCCAGACACGTAAGAGACTACCAGTGACAGCTTCGAAACACTTCATGGCTTCGATCTACATATAGCAGCATATAGCAACTGCACTGAAGCTTTCGATCGATCTCACACCGAGTCAGGAGCTTGCGCATGGACTGAGCTGCCTGGGCAACGGCAGGTTTGGGAAAGGGAAAGGAGGCTGACTAGATATTCACTGCAATGGATAGCCGTACTTCAAAGACTTGGTTTCCTGCGTCCCACTCGATCTTGGTACTTCTTAGCCAGGACCACAAGGTGCTGCATTAAGCCTCCCCCACGGTAGTTCTGGAGCAATGTCCATAGAGCATCCTCCGATAGTGCGGCCTGCGCAAAGTTCCGTTTTCGGTATACGAGACATGCACCCTCACTCTACATACTATACTAACCCAATCCCAAATCCTTTCAATCAATCATAAGAGGGTTGCCTGGCCTGCGGCCTCGCCGAAAAGACCATTTCGTAGGATTCATACCAGAACTTCTCGGGAAACTGAAGGAGACCTGCCGATTCAAACTCTCTCCCTATTTCTTTCTTTCTTTCTTTCTCGCTCTCTCCCTCTCTCTCTTTCTTTCTCTGACTCTATGTCTCTCTGTCTCTCGCTATCTCTCTGTCTCTCTCTCTGTCTCACTCTGTGTCTCTTTCTCTGTCTCTGTGTGGCTGTCTGCTTGGCTGGCTGTCTGACTGCATGAGATCCACACCTTCTCGGGCCAGCTCTTCCAACAGCACGGGTCCCACACAGCTAAGCGCCATGAGTATCGATCTATAAAGAGAAGCCTCAGCCCTCACAAGCCACTATGAAGCTGCAGTTAAAAGCCCACAGATTTGAGATGCATCGGCAGGCGGTCCGACTCAAAGGTACATGGTTCAGGCAACAAAGCGTGCAGAGCAGCACAGCAGGAGGGGGGGCGCACCACTGCGTCACCGCTGTCATCTTCAGAAACGAGGCTACACTTGTAAGTTGCTGCATGTCGTGCTGCATGAGCTTCCGAAGCTAGCAGTCGATCTTCTTGAATCCAAACATACAGCTAGCTGCTGGTACGGCTGTGTCACCGACAACAACGGTAGCAAACATCCCTCTGATGGCCCGGTGTTCAGAAGACCTATACAACTCAACTTATTAATATGTATACATATATATATGTATATATGCTCCGACCCTATTATAAATAAACCCAAGGCTTGACTGAGATTGCTCTGCGCATGCAAAGCTTCTCGATTGAGCAAAGCTTTCGAAGCTAGGGCCAGGCATCCGATGCATCAAGGGCACGAAGACCTTTCGACATTGGGCGGACATCACAAAAAGACCGAAACCCTCAATGCTTGACCCTTACAACTTACATGTATATATATATAGGTACAGAGTTTATAAATGGCTATCTAGGAGGTTCCAGGGTTAATAAATAGGGCAGAGGGTTAATAAATATACTTATAACGGTTTATAGGATAGAAGGTTCATATATACATGGCAGCATATGTGTAACTTGAGGGAGTTTAAGATCTATAGGCGCTGCAACCCACTCTATAGAAGGTTTATGACCTGATCCACCCGATTGAAACAAGAAATCAAAAAAATCAAGGATCAGCCTGGTAAAGGCGAATGATGAGCACCCGTAGGTTTATCCTAAAGAACTCTGGGTCATCCCAACAATTCTGCGGCTATATATGTCCTATCATCCTACCATGAGTTGGTTCATCTCAGCATGCAACTAGCAAAAATGAGAAAACGACGTGAGGCGATTAATCTGCCGCAGGGTGTGTTTCGGCGCCGAAACCCAAAGAGGCGCCAAATTCAGACGCAACGGAGGGTCCAGGTAAGCCCCAGGCAGAGTTTGAGTGAATTGAAGGCTTGAGCCTCTAGCGAGATGTAACGTTTTGAAGGCTTGAAGGTTTGAGCTCCGAGTTGTGTAGGTGAGTTGAAAGCTCGAGTCTCCGGCAGGTTTAAAGTATGAACCAGCGAACTGCTTCTTCTTCTAGAGATGTTTGGAGTGATACTTGTCCATTACCAATTTGCTCAATTTTATACTCGCCGCGGGCGAGGCCTGTACTGCGACCCGCCGAAGTCAGGGACATGAACACCCATTCGCTCGTAAATATATTTCACGGTAGCTGCCGTGCTCACGCTCGCTTTCTCTGCCTTTGTGCCTTGTTTGTGCCCTTCCTGCCGGTCCTGTCCTCAAAAGTGGGTTTCTTTATTCTACTTAGATCATGGCCGTCCCTCCGGGCGACGGCCTCGAGATCACTTGTTTGGGTTTGCGTCGAGTCGTTCGTTGTGTCATCTCGCAGGCCCAATTTTCGCCTTGCCGGTCGATCACACGGTGGAGGACGACCGCCGTTTCGAGTTCTGGTCTCAGGTTTCGGTCGAGCGCAGCAGGACCTTCGCTAGATTTTCGGCTTGCGAACCTGAGGTATCCGGCATGGTGGACCATTGAGCACACCAACGAGGCCAGAACCTGACCGTGGGTAATTTTGTCAAGCAAGCTTGAAAGCAGGTTTACCGGCGGGAAGCCGCATTGCTCGAAGACGTTAGCGAAGGCTCGTTGCTTCGGTGTCTCGCAAAATCAACTCGCGCTCTTTATTGCTAGGCGACTTCGTTTACAACATCTACCGGCAGGCAGTGTCAGAGCCGTTAAACGTAACAGAATGCACGTTTTCCAAGGTCGTGGATTGGCCCACGACCACCATGCCGTGACATTTCCCCACCCCTCGTAGATATGCTTAAGCCAGGGTTAAGATTCCAGCTTTAAGGCTCATGTCCGAGTGCCGTTGAGGATGTAGACATCCTGTAAAATCCCGAGCTCATAGGGCCTTTCTCAGGTTCACGAAAGAAAGAGATCAGATACTAGGATGCAGCGTCGTAGTTACTTTCGTATTTACATATTTGTACCCGGATTGCAAATTATGGAATTCAGCACCTCATATAGGTTTTGTTTTTCAATCGGAGAGATTGGTATGATATAGAGTTTCCTAAGAAGATTAAGAAAGCAGGAGCATGGTTTACTTAGGGGAGGGGAGGAGGGAAAGGGAGGGAGGAAGCGGAGACCCCCTGTCCTGAAACCCCCATGTCAAACTCTAGACGCTAGTCACCAGTCTTCCGTCGTCAAAGAGCCGTTGTCGCAGGCAGCCGCCATGAGCGCCAATGCATCTCTGGACCTGCAAGTGTTCTCGCGCAACTTAAATGTAATTAGGGTTCAGAGCGATTTGCGTGGGATACCTTGGGGTTGGCACCTCGTTGTTGGGTGGTCATTGCGGGGGCAGAGGTAGCAAGATCCGGCATCTTGCTTTCCAGGATCCGCCGCTGCCGATCTTTCTTGGGCCTTTCCACTTTGGCCTGGCCCAAGGCTGGCTGCAACGCTGGGACACGAACCGACAAAGCCTAAACCCCGAAGTCAACCTCTAAGCCAAATCCAAAAGCACAATGCCACGAGCTGGGAGGCACTGCAAGCAGCAGCCGCGTCCTCGGCCCCAAGCTTTTGCTGAGGGAACTTCGCCAGACTGTTTGGTTGCTTCGTGTTCCGGGACCCAGTAAAGGAGCCGGAACTATTTTTAGTCCGTAGGGTTCCTAAAATAGGTATGGTGCAAAACATTGCTGGTAGTATTCCTCAGGGTTCCTTGTTCTCTTTGTACTATCATACATTATTGCAATAGACCCCCCTTTGAGCTTCACAGAAGTAGGGTGAGGTAACTCTTGATGTGTTGCTGTCCGAGATCTCAGTGTGGCGCGGAAACCTGGTACTCAGCTGGCCGCAAGAACCAGGTGCTTGCTTATTGCATGCAAAGGCCGTCTTGTCGCTTGGTTCCCAAAAGGTTGTTGTGGGGGCTTCGTGTGCACCAGGAGCGCAGTGGCTGTCATTGTTATCGCCAGCATCATCAGCATCATCAGCATCGACATCATCATCATCATCATCACCATCATCACAGTCCTCACCGCCAGAACTCATGCTACGATGCTCCCTGTGCATTCGCTTCGTTGCTACTGTCGCTGCCTTCAACAACGAGGCGTCACATACATCTATCTATCCAGCCATCTGACCATCTATGTATTCATCCATCCCTCAATCTACCTGTCTATCTTTCTATCTGTTTATTTATCGATCTCTACATCTATCGATCTATCGATCTATCTCTACATCGCTTTATCTATCTTTCTTTCTCTCCCTCCCTCGCCAGGATCGGTTTGGAAGCATCACGAACCTTGTTCGATAGTTTTATCATGTTTGGAATCATCACGAATCTTGTCTGATAGCTTCATCATGTTTATCGCCACGACCGTCCTCTGTCCAGGATGACAGAACCAGTGTACTGGCACGCAAAAGCCCACACGTGTAACCTTCATCGTGCTCCGCGTCATAGCACGAAGCGCCTTTAGTCAGCAGTGGCCTCGGCTCAAGTCGGTTTCAGAAGTCTCTCCCAATCTCTGTTCTCCTTCTAGGTGCTCTCGTCTTCAAGACAAGCACAGTACAAAGGCTGAGGGTCTGAAGCGAGCACATTCGCCTTTCTCATGTAGTAGCTGCGAAGAAACGGTCTTGACTTTACCTGAACCTGCGCAGATGTGCACGCACCTAGAAATTCCACGTGGGCGGCAAGTTTGATTTAAAACGGAAAGGCCTGGAGATTTTTGGGAAACGGTTCCTCGAGCTCTGAGGCTCAGCTGCCGGAGGGGGAATTTCCAGTTACCTTTCCGGGCTACTCCCGGAGCTGGGTCCCCAGTTTGCAGAAACTGTGTGGTTCTTCGGCAAGGAAACCGCAGTAAGCTTGATTGGACGCGAAGCGCCTGGTCATGAGTTCCTAAAGGATGCATGCAAAGAGAGACATTTTCTGAGGCAGGCTCATCCTCATCATGTTCTGGGCCAGGCTCATCGCGGCGGGCACTTGCCTTATGAGATATGCTGAATCATCCAGCAAAGCATTAGTTGAAGGGAACTGCGCAGAGCTAGGTTGACTACGAATGGCCATCGGCAGCCCCTCAGGCACTTTGGTGAAACTCCGTTTGGCTGCTTTCCTGATGCATCGTTCGTGAGATTTCTTTCACGCCCGCCTTCTTCTGAAAGGACGATTTCTGGTCGATGAGGGTGTGGATTGCCGCGGGCTGAGCAGGCAAAATCAAACCACAGAAGATCTTGAAGGCACGAGGGTAGGGAAAGCAAAATGTGGCCTCCAGCTTTTCAGCAGAGTGCAAAGTGGGCGTTCAAGGAAGATCTCCTGGAGGATGGGGAGGATGGTACTCGGCCAAGAGTTCGTTGGAGATACTATAGAAGTTCAAGTTGCCATGCAGCTTCTGTCTTGGAAACATCGCTGCCGCTATACAGGTTCTTGAGATGCAAGTCTGAAAGGGGGGGGCGGGTTGGGAAAGATCTCCTTACACGGCACCGCGCATGTAAAGTGCCCATGATTCTTGAGTGAGAGCATCGATTCCTGGTAGATCTAGCTCATAGCCTCATAGCTTACGATTGAAAACCCATGTCCAGGTCCCACAGCCAGACAGGATCAGAATCGTAGACTTTACACGGAGACCAAGCTATTGAAGCCGTGAGGAGTTTGGACTGTGCAGCAAGGGAAGGGAAGAGCTCAAGGGAGCAGCAGAAAGGTTTGTTTTTGCGCTGAACCCAGGGTACCTTGCGAGGGTGACCCGGCTGGTTTTTCGCTCAGATGGCGGATGGTCGTGACCTGCTTCATGGAGAACCTATATCGCAGGTCAGGATGGGTGTTTTCATCGAAACCTGTCGCATCCTTTCCCCTACAGTACACAACACGACGACGACTGAGTTGAATGAGTGTAACAGACAACATCGAACAACCCTTCGCAAGACCATGCCACACCCTTCGCACGGGCACTCAAGAGCTATATGAGCTGGCACATCTTCTCGCTCACGCATGCTGGAGATCGTCGGAGATCGTCGGGAGTGGAACCGAAACGCGTGTACACGACCCTTAGCTCCTTCCGCCGTCTTCCAACCACACTTTGTGGGATCCATCATGCATCCCAACAAAGGTGGAGTCTTCCCGGCACCTGTGGCTGGAGCTGCAGGCCACCGCATGTCCGGAAGCTTCAGAATCATATTGAATATGCCTTTAAGTAGATTTACTAGTCCCTTCCATTTCCAAGTCACTCCGAGTGGCAGTCACCCACAGCTCCGCACAGGTGTGCTGGACACCGATGGCCAGCACTGCGCGGGCCTGTGCTTCCTGCTAGCCTGCTAGTCGGCTGGAAGTATTCGCTTATCCTTGAGAGCTGGGAATCGGTGCTTTCTTAGAGTTCCATCCAACTTGAATTGGAGAACGTCGCGAGTGAAACCGAAACGCGTGTACACGACCCTTAGCTCCTTCCGCCGTCTTCCAACCACACTTTGTGGCATCCATCATGCATCCCAACAAAGGTGCAGTCTTCCCGGCGCCTGTGGCTGGAGCTGCAGGCCACCGCATGCCCGGAAGCTGCAGAATCATAGTGAATATGCCATTAAGTAGATTTACTAGTCTCCTCGCGTGCGCTTCTCTTTTGTCGTTGCCGTGTTTTGCTGCAGGTGTCGTTTCTGATTCGACGGATGCATGCGGGCTAAGCGCAGGACTGAAAGAAACTCAATTCCTGACCGCTCGCATACAAGACATGGAGAGCCTCGGCGTTAAATTCCTTTGGTCGCGAGTTGGCCATTTGCAGGAGGGTCTTCGGAGCTCGCAGGTCACGCCCTTCCATTTCCATGTCACTCTGAGTCTATTGGGCAGGCAGTCAACGCTCAGGTGTGCCGCAAAATGTGGACACCGATGGCCAGCACTGCGCGGGCCTGTGCTTCCTGCTAGCCTGCTAGTCGGCTGGAAGTATTCGCTTATCCTTGAGAGCTGGGAATCGGTGCTTTCTTAGAGTTCCGTCCAACTTGAATTTATGCACCTGTGATGACCGTTTCAGCTGCCACGGGTAACCAAGGGAGTGTCAAAAACCAGATGGCTCCCTCCAGTCGGACGACAGGTTTGGACCTATGAGGACTCCAGGACTGCCTCGGCCTTGCCGATCCGGGTAGCAGCGGCAGCAGCAGCAACAGCAACAGACATGGCAGCATCTACAGCAACAGCCTCAGCACCAGCAGAGTCATCATCGACCAGCATCCTGAACCCGGGAAGAAATAAATGCGAGCTGATACCAAAAGGTTCCATTGAAACATCAAGCGGAATCAAGCGCGTTCCACAAGCAGTGTCTGCAAACCCTCGAGGGCGGCTGCTGCTGTTGCTGCTGCTGTTTGTTGTCGTTGCCACTACTGTTCGGGTTGCTCGTGCTTGTATTTGTGATCGTTAGGTTTCCTCATTCACGTCTTTAGTGTTCTTGATATTGCAATGTCTTCTTCTTGTTGCTCTTCTTGTTGCTGCTCTTGTAGAGGTGGTGGTGAAGGTAGTCGTGAGATGGTGGCGGTGATGAGGGTGGTGGTGTTCTGGTCGGGTTGGTGGTTGTGGTGGGTATTCTTTGTGTGATTTCTGTTCATGGGTGATGACGTGGGCGTGGGCGTTATCGTCATCATCGTCGTCATCGTCGTGGTCAGTCTTGTGGTCGTCGTGGTTGTCGTTGACGTTTCGTGTTGTTTCCGTTGCCGTTACCGTTGCTGCTGTGCTGCTTGTTGTTGCCACTGGTTGAGTGTCTGTTTTGCAGCCTCTTGTTGGGCTTTGGAGGAGCGCGCCTTCAGCTCCCAAGCAACCAAGCCTTGCAGCAAGCTCAGTTGTTGATTCGTTGATGCTTGCTTGGGCATGCTCATGCACACAAGCCGTTGACCTGCGGTGTTGCCACTGGACAAATAAGATTAGCATTCCACCCGAGCGCCATAGCTTCTATAGTAGTCGTCTTTCAGTGGCAGTAGAGCGGGGCGGACCCGGCCGCAATGGCGGCCATTACAGTATGGTACAGGAGCTCTCGGTGCCATCCCGGGGCTTCTGGGCACGCGCCGCCCTGCGGCGGAGAGCCGAGCTACAGGTGGGAGGCCCGACCTAGGCCCTGCGTTCGGCAGCGGTCGCTCTCGAAACGCCGGCGATGTGATTGCCGTCTACATGCCCCCCCTACACCGTGGTTCTCACGGTGGTGCCTCCTCGTCGACGTGCCCCACTATGCGGCTGGCTTTTGTCTGCAGCCATGCCTCTCTGCCTCTCTCTCTTCTCCATTCTTCTCCTTTCTGGGTCGGAGTGGAAGGCGAAGGCTTTGTTTTCTTCTCCTCTTGTCATCTGTCGCCCAAGCAGGGACACAGAGCACACAGAGCGCTCCACCCGAAGTGTGGCAGGGGAAAAGTCCTTTTGGCCTTGGGACTGCTCTGATTTCCTGGACTGCAGCCCCATACTTCATGGGATTCTTGCGTGCATGAACAGAAACCCAAGCCTGCATAGCTAAACCCCCACGCGCGTAAGGTCCGCATAAGGTCCCGCGTAAGCGAAAGGATTCGCCACGTTTCACATGAGCTCTGAGTGAGTGACATTCGGTGATTCCGGCATTGGCATCGACTTTCGCAAGCTTGCCGAGGCTGCATCCTGACAGTCACCTTCAACATGTTCAGAGAGTGAGCAGACGCCCCCACCCATTCCCACCTTGACATACCTTGACACTAAGGTCCATTTCATCCCTTCAAGCCAATCCCCTTACCGTCTCACAGAGATGAACCAAAAAAAAACGTGCGCTGCCTGCTGCCTTTCTCCCTCAGCGTTGCTCTGTGCAACACAGAGCAATGCTGAGGAGGAAAAGCAGCAGGCAGCGCACGTTTTTTTCAGCTGCAGAGCCGGTGGGTGAAAGAAGGAGCAGGACGTCCAGACTGCTGTGTGGATTTTCCTGCATGCCTGTCGTTCAGCTGCAGCTTACGGATGCTCGCTAGATGATCTGACGCTTCCCATACTCTGAGTTGCCCGTAATTGGCATAGATGTTTGCGGATTTGGTGTGATCCTTACAAGCCGGCTAGTCCCCCGAGCTCCAATCCAAGGAAATGCTGCCAGGGAAATGCTGAATCTTGCGTCTCCAATCAAAGCCGAACTCCAGCTCTTTCCGGGATCAGTTTGAAACGTGCAGGTTTTATCAAACTGGTTGTAATGCAATCATTGGCATGAGTTGCCGGTTACTCCCTGATGAGGGCTCTTCCTTCCCTTTCCCTTTAGTGGGCCCTGGCTTGAGGCACGGAGCGAGTGCGTAAGGTGGAAGCTGCCGTCTCCTGCGCAGTGCGGTTCAAGATGATGAAGCATATACAATATAATACAAGAGCAGCAGCAGTGAGGGAGCAATGAAGCACATGCCATTTAGAAGGTTGGGTTCGTCGAATCTTGTGGTGGGAGCCGCTGGTTCTGCCGACGTCGGCTTCATGTAGTGGCCCGGTCGCTTGCCTGTCCGGCCCGGTCGGCTCCCTCAGTCAGCACACCCAAAACCAGGAAGCACACGACACGATGCCAAAAGTTTCCGGATTCTGAGGAAGGCGACCAATGGTCGCCTTGGAGGAGGTTGGTCCGGCTGCCGACTTCGGATCGTTGTGCCTTGGCTGCCATGGGCATCTGTGGGCTTCGCTTGTGGACAAGTGCGAGTGGGCTCGGGTCAGGGTCGCGCCACGCGGCACTGAGGAGCGCGTTTCTCGGGGTGGGCGTGCCGGGCGTGCCGGTCGCCGAGCGTGGAGCCCACCTCAAGGCACAGGCTGTCCACGAAACTGACCAACAGATGAGCGACATGGGATTTCGGCGCAGGCGCCACTGCCGCTGCCCACCCCCACTGCAACTTCCGCCAGGCAAGACTCCACTCCGTAGCAACGGCATTGGAGACATGAGCATCATGGTGCGAAGATTGTGCGAAGGATTGGCAAGGATGGCACCCTCAGCAAGAAGGTTGCCTTCAGGCTCATCGTGTCGATCACAATGACCTGAGACAACGGTGCGTCTTTTGAATGTTCGGGACGATGCCCAGTGGCAAGGATGCTGAAGCAGCTCGGGTGCGAAGTGCTCTCGGATGAGGATGGCGAGGTCCCGCGGCCAGGCAGCTCGTTCCCGCTGCAGGTCGGGGTTGTCTCTTGCGCAGGCCCGGTACGTGCAGGTGGGCATCAAAACTCAGCCGGTGCTCTTCAAGAGCCTTGGCATGAGAAGAGGCAATTCAAAGGAGGTCGCTTCGAGAGAGCAGCACTGCAGCACGTGTTGCGTTGTTGAGGATGCTTGTGGAGCTGGGCCACGCGCCCCGGCGCGGCGAAGATGGCCCAGGCCTCAGGCCTCCAGCGTGCTTTTTCCTCATTTCTCCGCCTGACCTGACTCGTATCCTGACACTGCAACGCAACCGAGGCGAATTCATGGTTCAAGTTGTCGAGCAACGCGGGCGAAAGCCGGAGGCTCGCGGTTTACCCCCCACCCCCCCGCTTGCATCGAAGCTTTGCTGCCCTGGCCTTCCATGCCTTAAGAAGCTCTTGCAGGAAGTTGTCGCAGCCCTGTCGGCACCCCGGAAGCCGCCTCGAGCTCCCCGGCAGGCAGGGCCGGGCAGACGGGCAGGGCCCGAAGAAGTGGTTTTGGCCTCGGTGACCTCGCCAGGAGCCCGAAGACGAAGGCTACCCTTCCATGCCTCGTCCTCGCCTGAAGCCGGAGGCCATTCCGGGATTTGTGGATTGACCCTATAACCCCACAAGGGGCGAGAAGAGCGCAAGCACCTCACGCAAGTTCCATGAAGTCCGAAGTCCCCAACCTCTGTTTTAGCCCCGCACCCGCAGGGTGTCCTGTGGCCTCAGGATGCGCAGCTTCTCGTCAACCGTCTCTACAAGGTGCCGAGAAGGCTGGCCTCTGCATAACATCGCTGCGTCATTGTTTTTCAAGCGAGTTGCAAGCAGTTCTGTGTAATCGTTGCGACTTGTCGTCGACCTTCGTGAGGATTCTAATCTAGGGAGTCGACCACAAGAAGGAACGCGGTTTGTGGCAGCAGAGGTTTGTCTGTCTCTTGTGGGCTACCATTCAGTCAGCAGACGACGTAAGATGACGAAGACCAAAACGATAGATGCATTCTGGTGAGGTCGAAGTGAAATGCAGGTTGCCGTAGCACGGTCAAGCGGGAGGAATATGTCCAATTACCGACTATTGGGGTTCAGCTTGGACAAGAGATGCTCCAGCGAAAGTCTGCGTGCGGGCGGCAAAGAAGAAGACACCGCCCTGATAGCCCAACTGAGTGTTCGAATAGTCGGATGCCTTGTAAGACCTCGGCACGGCCTTCGAATTCCTAAGACTCACAAAGTCTTGGTGTGCGCCTGCCCATCCGCCCCCTGAGCTCCGCCCGAATAGACGGAGATCTGCGCATACTCTTCCTGCTTATGAAAGCTGCAGCAGATACTGGGAGTGTTTCGGATTCAACATTCGCGAAAGTTGCGGAATGTCCTGCCTGAATTTACAAGGCGAGGTGCCTGCTGGTGTCGTCCAGCTGTTTTTGACTCGGTGTTTGCACGCCGAAGCTTCAAGTGCTTCAGACGACTTGGCTTCCTTTGAGTTGAGGCGGAGGCATTGAACGGGGGGGGCCATCATCGTACCACACTACAGTCCCATCGTGGAGGCAGACAACAACTGAAACAGCCAGTTCCCAGTTCCAGAGTTGTGTTCCTGAGTGCTCTGGAACGTGTCAGGGTTCCGGACGTCGCCGTGTTGGAATATATGCTTATCGACACTGATCGACACAACAATGAGTTGAAGCATGCACCCAAGAAAAGCCACTTCGTGCAGCATCTGCTACGTGAGGCCTCCTGCAGAGGTGAAGGCGGATGAGCCCAACTCAGATCTTGCAGAGTTTGGTTTCGGGCTGTCGCGGGTGTCTTACGAGTCTGTCCCGAGGCTGCGAAGCCGCGGCGGACTGCGGCGGAGCAGCGCGCCTACCTCGACCGCTTGGTGAAGCCTCGGGCTGAGGAGACGCAGGCTCCGGAGCTGGACGAAGTGATCCTGGAAGCGGGCAGGCCGGCGGGAGCCATCGGGAGCAGAGTCGCATTGACATCGTCCCGGCTTCGCAGCTTCGCAGCTTAGGCGGCTCCTGAAGAACGGGATCACTTGGCCGAGCTTCTCCAGTCCCTCCGAAAGCCGAGCAAAGAAGGCACAGAGCCGCACGAGGCTGGCACAGGCCGGAGCTTTGGCCATCTCGAGCACAGAGCCCAAGGACGTTCGAGGGCCGCAGTCCATGCACTCTCGCTTGCGCCTGCCGCGCTCCCGGCCTTCCTCTGCGGAGCTCAGACGCCGCGACTCCGGGGTCGCCCCGCCTCTCCAGACCCTCCAGCCGCTGCAGCCGCTTCAAGCACTGGAGGCACTGGAAAGCGCGCTGCCCAAGAGCCCTCCACCGGAGATTCCTCCGCCGCCTGCGGAGCAGGAGGTCTCGGCAGGAGGCCTGGAGCAGGAAGAGACGCCGATGCCGGAAGCGGACACAGAGGCGAAGGAGGAGACGCCAGAAGAGCCCGAGATGGTCTTGGAGGAGTCCATCGAGTCTGTAGAGAGCACCGGCGCTTGGCTGGAGCGGCTCCTGGGTCCCGCGAAGTTTGGGATCGACCAGAAGCGGTCCTGCAAGGAACAGCGGGAGCGACTCGAAGAGTTAGCAAAGCCCCGACAGCTGAAGGAGCCTCTGCCCGAGCCCGGCCCCACCAGTGCCAAGCCCAGGCCAAGGTCTCCTCGCTCACAGAGAGAGGCGTGCAAGAGGCTGGCGCAGCCTCGCAAGCCCAAAGCAGAAGAACCATCGCCGCCGTCAGCGGAGCAAACGGTCCACGCTCAAGGCGAGGAGGGAGAGCCGGAGATTCCAAGCCAGGAGACAGAGGCCCCTTCCGTTTCGGATCCGCTCGAAGAGCTGGAGGAGCCGCCAGTAAAGATCATCCCGTCCTTGCTGGCACAGTGCCCTTCAAGGCTGGAGCGCATCGACGAGGAAGCGAAGGAGGCCAAGAGGGAGTCCTTGCGAGCACGATCCCGAGGCCACCGCTCGCCGGGCCGCGCGCGCTCCCAGGGCGCTTCTTTGCGGCGTGGAGCTCCGGCTCCCTACGCCGTCCCCGTCGTTCCAAAGCACCTGGTGGACGGACCGCCGCGGCCGGAGCACGGGAAGGGCAAGGACAAGGCGGACAAGGACGCCAGGGGAGAGAAAAAGCGGCGCATGTCCGGACCCGGCGCGAACGGACCGAGCGGCCCGAGCAGTGCAAGCGGTGCAGACAGCCCGGAGGAGGAGTTGAGCCCGGATGAGGCGGCGAAGCTTCTCAGCTTCTTGGCTGGTGAGGAGGGTCTCTCCGAAGGCCACGGCGAGGAGAGCGCAGCGTGTGAGCAAATGTTGCACAGCATCGATGCCCTCTACACTCAGTTCATGGCCGCTACCAGCGACACCCGTGCGATGCCTGACGGCAAAAGCTCTGAGGCACAAGCAGAGGGAGATCTTGGGACCACGGACGGCACGGACGAGCCGTCTGGAGCTTCCGAGACGCTTCCCCAGCCGCGTGAAGGCGAGGATCTGATGGCCGACATTGACCGGCTCTACTGGGAGATGCTCGATGCAAGGCATGGGGACTCCCCAGACGAGGACTCGATGCCAGCGGAGGAGATAAGCAAAGCTGCAGAGCCCACGGTCTGTGCACCGCTCCCGCTCCTTTCGGAGGTGCCGCCCCAGGCTCCTGAAACGCCACCCCAGGCAGAGACGGAAGTTGACACGGAAGAGTTGCCCGCTTTGCTCGAGGAAGTGCTCTGGAGCGCCATCCTCCTGACTCGAGGAGCTGCGGGTCGCAAGCTGGAGTCTACCATCGCAGAGGACGGACCCCTGTATGCGATGTCAAAGTCGTGCAAGAATGAAGTTTCGGGAGTCATCGAAGGATTTGCAAATCCTACCTAAGCAGCGGAGGGGTTGCAGACAATGAGCATGAGAGATGCTTTGTCACGGTGCTGTAGCTTCTCAGGTGAAGTGCGAGTCGGCACTATGCCTGTATGTGCAGGCGCGATTGCTGCAGCTGCTGCCGCCGGCCCGCTTGGCCCAGGCTCCCTGAAGCAACAAGACTAAGACGGGCCGTAGACAGGACAGCATACAGCAGCATACTGTGGTGCCCGGAGCTTGGCGGAGGCCGCTTCCCTGGCCGCCTTGCCGAACAGCCTTCTGCAGCGCCTGGCGACGGAGCTGCCCGAGGCCGGGCCCAGAGCTCTTCTCCTCGCCGCTGTAGCTCCGCTGTAGCTCTTCTGGTCCTTTGTTCCTCTCCCCGCTGCCGTCGCGCTGATGCCGGTGCAGGTGCGCGCTGCTCTGGAGATCACTGAGGACATGTGCCCTCTGACCATGGAGCAGAGGGTGACGCTGTTCCACGCGGTTCGGGAGGTCCGGCAGACCCATGCAGACCCTACAACGCCGCCGATGGCTTTTATTGTGGAAAGCAATACAGCCAATACCGAACACCTATATACAATAAGAGTCTAACTATCATCGCATAGATATATTATATAAAGGGTCATAAATGGGCTACACATGGCTACACGTAACGACAGCGTGATCGAAGCTTTGCCAGGCCCGCGATCGCCTCTTGGACTCCGCGGCTTCTGAGAGCGTGGCTGGGGCCTCCTCGCGGCCTTCGTCCGGAAGGCCAGGGTGCACAAAGCCTGGTGCATAAGTCACAGCCTACCTCCTGCCTGCCAGCCGCAACGTAGCGGGGTTTTCTCGTTTTCTCGCAGCATTTCATATCATGCATATCAGCAACATATTCTGCACAGAGCTCTACGAAGCAGAAACAACTCGCTTTGCTTCGCTTCGCTGCAATGAAGCTTTGGAAAGCAGGTCCAGGCCTTCGGCCTCGAGCAGGCGGCTGAAATCCAAACCTCGGAGGCTGCTCAACGGGTTTCAAGGATCAGGGGTTTGGGTTCATGGTCTAGGCTTTTAGAGTTAACGGCGTGCGATGGTTTGGGTGTTCAGGGTGTGCATCAGCGTCGGGGAGTCGGCTTGAGGTTTGTGGGGCAGGCTGTGTGGGAGTTTCAACGGACATGGTAGGTGTGTTTGCCGCTATGTTCAGAAGTTTATGGGTTCGGTGGTTATACAAAAAGTCTTAAGTCTAAATAAGCCTGAAACACGACTGACGGGACAAGCAGTTCCCTGGATGAAGCAAGGTGCACCATGCAGATCCAAGTTCGAACAACTTCCCACAGTCGTGCAGCGTTTGCTACTGCCGAGTATCATACGATGCATCATGATGACTTGATGGGTCGGAGAGAGGAACATCGATTGACATGCATGGGCCTGCAGAATTGAATGCTGAAGGTCAACATAGTTCAGTTTTCCAGCCTACAGTGTCAGAGTCGTTCTTGCTTGCTTTGTCCTCCTCCTTGTCGTCCTGCGTACTCAGGCAACACGACGGGGAAGGATCAAGAAACAGCGCATGCACGTACGCATGCAGCACGCATTTGCACTCCTCTCTCGCTCTCGCTCTGTCAGGAGTAGCATGAGCTACTGGACGGACGAGTCACTCGATGCTTTGGAGGCCAATGGGAAGCGCAAGGAACACGGATCTTGAAGTGCGATTGGGATGCCTTGCCAACTCGGTGAAGCCGCCCGCGACCTGCAGGCTCCGAAGCGAACGGCGGGGCGCTAGGCACTCCGTGAGGCATTCTTTCCACACGGGAGGAGCGGAGCTTCCAAAACCAAACCCCCCTAACTCACTCTAGGATGAAAGGAGGAAGGTGTCCTTCCTCGGCTTTCCTCCTTGAATCTTTGCACTGCCATGTGCCATGAGCTGACAGACTCATTTGGCAGATTCAGCAATCAGAGAAAGCGCCAACATCTGTCTGCTCCTGGTCGACGGCCCAGTCGCTCATCAACAAGCTGAGCAGGGCGTCCCGGATTGATGTACAAAGCTACCTGTGTATTCCAACGTGAGCAGCAAGCTTGAATTGATAGCCCGAAAGGAATTGATGATTTGCATAAGCTTTACCTGGAACTTCAGCGAGCTGCAGCATTTCACCTAGGTCTCATGTGAGGCCAGCCAGCATGCTTCACAGCGGCGGGTCTTCTTTCTGTGCTTGAAGGGCAGCTGGGAATAAAATGCCAAGCTTTGGGCTGCAGCAGACGTCGGGCACAGACGAAGACTCGACACGCTCTGTGGTTTCACTCGCACGGATGGGCGGTTTTCAGACGAGCCGCTACGAGCCCATGACTGCAAACAAGTGTGAGTGCATGCGGCCGGGTCAGAGTCGCAGGTTGAGTCAGAGTGTGAGATTGAAGCGACCAACACACATTCAGTGGCAGATCGCGAGCTGCGAGCACACAGCTGCCTGGCTTCGGCCATGCCTCAGAAACCCTCCCCTCGTAAAACGCTAGGCTCCCCCAAAAGCAAGCCCCCAAATGGGTGACTTACAAGCTTGCAGTGCTGATGCTGAAGGGCTTAGAGGTCCTACAACGTTTTGGTGCGTTGGGGTTCATGGTTTAGGGATCGGAAGCACATCCAGTTTTAAACCGGCAGACGGCAAGGCGAAGGATCAAGAAGGGAGGGGTGGGGGGTGGTCTAGGGTTGCTGTAAAGGAAGAGAAAGGAAGGTGAGAATGTGTAGCTTTTGGAGGGAGATCCTGTACAAGAAACATATGCTGTATCGGGAAATCGCAACCGCAAGTGTGGCCAAAGCTTCGACGTTCGAGGTTGGGGCGTCGGCTTTAAATTTCAGAAGTAGACCTTGTCCTAGACAAACGAACTGCCACCCCCAAATTGCAACTTGCTATCGAAGCCTAGGCACATCAAGCCGAAAACCTGAAGCCTAACGCCAAAGTCATAAACAATAGTAGCCGGCTGGTAGGGTTTTGACGTGATGAGGTGGGTACAACATGCAGCAAAACACAACATAACCGTCAATAGGCATGGTGGGGGGCTTTGACACGGAGTAAAGATGCCATCCGAGTCTTGCTTTCAGTTGGTCCACATTGTCACCGGTTTTAGAAACGGCGCAATCCGTCATGTAGGCATCGTCTGGTTCCATTTGCTATGACGGCTTGACACGACACTGGAAAGTGGCGATCACCTGGCCGCAGCCCTGAAACATGACGAAGCGCAGCTAGGACAGGGCCAAGCCCAGCACGAAGAGTTTCAGAGTGTCAGATGCTGTGGTCTTGATATTGAAGTTTCCTGCCGACAGCAGACCATGCCTTGAGCATGCCATGGAGAAGCCGGTGGCTTTGTTGCTGGCCTTGGCGGCCATGTTCCTCTGGGGCTCCTGGGCAAACACCCTGTTGTTATCCCGCATCCGTTTCGAGCTGCTCGGCGCACAGAAGCTTCTTGCAGACTTGTGCCGACCTTGTCGAACTGTTTTCGATGTAGGCGCCTATGTGGATGCAGAGATGAGCAGAAGTGCATCCTTTTCATTTTCCTCTAAAATGAAAGGGAGCTGAAAGCCAGAGTTGCGAGGTTGTACTTCTTCGACTATGTGCTCGGCCATCTCCTGGCAGGTTGTTTACTGCTGCAGGACCTCGATCTGCAGAAGGGCTGGCCCCCAAAGAGGGACATCAAGACGGTTGGCATGCCTACTTAGAAACGGCTTGTTTCTTCAGTAGAGGGAGTGCGGAGCTAGACGGTTGTATTTTGGGGCCTTCTCTCGGATTGATTGCATTCTTGGGCGCTCTTTGCCGGTATATGATTGGTATGTGTTTTTCTTTCCTGATTTTGCAACGTTTTTCGATGTTTTGGAGGACTCGTTGTTGTGGTGGTGGTGGTGGTGGTGGCGGTGGTGGCGGCGGCGGTGATGGTGGTATTGGTGGTGATGGTGGTGATGGTGGTGGTGCTGGTGCTGGTGCTGGTGCTGCTGGTGGTGGTGGTGGTGGTGCTGGTGCTGGTGGTGCTGGTGCTGGTGGTGCTGGTGGTGCTGGTGCTGGTGCTGCTGCTGCTGCTGCTGCTGCTGCTGGTGCTGCTGCTGCTGCTGCTGCTGCTGGTGCTGCTGGTGGTGGTGGTGGTGGTGTTTGCTGTTGTGGTTGTTGTGGTTGTGGTGGTTGTTGTGGTGGTGGTGGTGCTGGTGGTTGTGGTTGTGGTTGTGGTTGTGGTTGTGGTTGTGGTTGTTGTTGCTGTAAGCCTCTCGGCTCAGGAAAGGTCAGGCTAGTACAGTTGCCTTTTTCCTTTCTTGCCATGGCATTTGTCAGCGCCTGAGCAGTCCCGGTCCCAAGTCCGGGAGGGAGTATTAGATTTACAGCTCTCTAACATCTCCCAGAGGTGAGGGTTGTCGGTATTGCGAAGCCGACAGGAGCCGTACTCAACATGAGTGCTGCGAAACAGCCTAGTGGTTCGACCAAGCATCAGCCCGTTCCTAAAGGGAAGGGTAAACGCTCTTATCAAAGGGCAGCACGTAAAGCTCTGCTTGAAGGTAGTGCGGTCTACAAGGGAAGGACGATGTCGTCAACAGAGCTTGGAGTTGCTCCGGCACATGTAAAGCCCACCAATCCCGGCAGAAGGACTCGGCCTTCAAAATTTACAGAAGATAAGAATCTCAGCTATCTATCCTGGAACGCAGGATCTCTCACAACAGCAGTTTGGGAAGAGTTACTCTCCGTACTGCAAAGTGCCGCATTTCAGGATGTGAAGCTGGTAGCAATTCAGGAAACACACTGGAGGGGCTCATGGCAATTCAGCAAGTCAGGTTGGCACGTGATCAGCTCTGGCTCCACAGGGGAGAAGGGAGCCGGGGTCCTCATAATGGTGCACTCCACGCTGTGCAAGTCACAGGATCTTCGCTACAACGAGGTTGTTCCAGGAAGAGTTCTCCAGGTCCGGGTGCCGAGCAACGGCATCTCACTGGACGTCTTCAGCTGCTATCAATACGTTTGGCGCTCTAAGGAGACTGTCGCTCAGAATAAGGAAACCCGGAAGCAGACCCTTCACGCCCTAAGTAAGTCCATCCGAGCTGTTCCCAATCGCAACACTCTCCTTGTGCTAGGAGATTTTAACTCCTCGCTCAAGACCGACAACAAACACGTAGGGCCATGCACGATCCAGGCTTGCAGACTAGGGCATCGCGGATCTAAGGATCTCCAGACCCTACTGTCGGAGCACCAGCTAGTCGCAACCAACACTTGGGGAGTGCATAGACCAGCCACCCACGAACAAGGCAACTCTGTTTCACAGATTGACTTCTCGTTTGTCAGGATTGCACAGTCCCAAGGCCCTGCCAGGTTTTGCCGGCCACTAAGGACCTTCCCAGTGGCATCCTGGAGGGATGGTAGTAGGCATTTCCCCCTTCTTGGTAAACTGAGGCACAGCAGGAGATACTCCGCCCAAGCCTCAAAACCCTATGACCAGCAGGCAATGGAGGACTGCTACAGACACCGTTCCCCGAAAATACAGGCATTTGCCAGGGAGGTAGACTCCCTCCTTCAGGATCATCCCCAAACCTGGCAGAGTCTCCATCAAGCAATGAACTCAGCCCTCGCGACTCACTTTCCCAAGAGAAAGGGAGCAGCACAAAGAACAGATCTCAGCATTTGGGCAGAGCGCACAGTGTTGCGCTCACTCCCAATGTCAGTCAAGGTCTTAGCAGAGTTCTTGCCGGAGTTGCAGGTCCGAATGGTATTTCGCTGCTGGCTGTCGCTGTCTCAGCAAAGTGCACAGGCGAGGGTAGCAAAGCGTCAGAAGCAGGAAAGGCGACGACAGGAAATAGATGAACAACTTGAGCAGGCAGAGCTTAAATCCAAGCAAGACGGGAGTCATTCCCTCTACAAGGTGATCAAGCGCTTCCGGTCGGGGAGGCCTCAGGAAAGAGTTCAGCTACGTGACTCAGAGGGTCGCTTCCTAACAGCCAAGGAAGAACGTAGACAATTAGAGGAATACTCCATTGAACTGTTTGGAGCAGGGGACGACTTCCCGCTCACAGGGATACAAGGCAGCCTGCACATCACCGAGCAAGAAGTTCAAGAACAGCTAGGCACTATAAAGCTTGGCAAAGCAGTTCCTAAAGAAAGTCCTCCCATAGTAGCTTGGCGCTCCCTAGGCCCCAACGCTATTCGGCTTATCTCGGACACTCTCAATAGGGAGGTCACTGCAGGAAGGCTTTCGGACAGCGTCACCTCGTCACAGATCTCTTGGCTCCCAAAGCCCCCCAAGAAGCCAGATAAGCCAACATCACTCCGTCCGATCGGGGTGATAGCACCTGAGGGCAAGGTCCTGGCAGGACTTGTGAGGCAGAGACTCAAGTCCACCCTCCATCAAGCAATGCAAGGAGTCTCTCAGTTTGGCTTCGTACCAGGTAGGGGCACAGAGGAGGCGATCTGTAAGGCCCTCACACATGTGGATCAGGCCAGGTTCAGGCAGGCCCTTACAACTAGAGCGGCTGGTAAGGGACAACAGGGGCTTAAGCTCAGGGGCAGTCTCACGATGAGCGTTGACATGAGCAAAGCTTTTGACACTGTGGACAGGCTACGATTAAGAGAAGCCCTGGAAGCTGAACAAGCAGACCCTCTTCTTATAGAGGTGGTGGGCCATCTCCACATCAAAGCCTTGTACAAGATGACAGCCAGCGATCAGAGCTTTGAGATAGCCACACGCAGGGGAATCAAGCAGGGATGCAAGCTTGCACCTTCCCTATTCGCCTTTGCATCCGGGCTTCTCTTTAGGAAGCTCTCTGGA